AGGCGTCGTTTCGTTCTCCTCTCGGCTTTTGGTCTAGTTTAGCACAGCATTTCAATTGAATCATGCAGCACGCTCCAGGTAGACGCGGTGTCGCTAGTGCGTGTAGCGCGAAAGATCCGCGAAAATTCTGCTAAAGTCGAGTTTGCCGTATCGAGCCACGCGCATTGCTATTTCTATACGGTTGCTAGTGCCACAATCCACGACTGCCACTAGCATTTGCATTGGCACTAGCACGATCACTGCAGCCGGGAGCATGGACCTTGTAGGCACGCTTCATGGGCGCTCGAACCTTTAACCGGCCTCAACCTTAGCCCTGCACCCTACACGCCGAACCTTGAACCCTAAACCCTACTGTCTAAAACGGCCAAAGAAGCCTATACTAGAACTCTGAAAGAGTCTTATAGACCCTGTAAACAGCCCTCGTAGAACTCTTATCAATATACATGATACTTTCGCGAAGAAAGTCATTCAGAGATATACTAATTTAGATCAACACCCAAGTGTGTAGGTAGGTGGGCAGGCAGGTAGGTAAGTAGGTAAGTACTTAGCAGAAGGGTTTGCGGGTAATGTATGCATATGAGTGTGATCCCGGGTCCGGGCTCATCCTCCCTCAACCCGCCATGGCGTGCCACCCTAAAGTTTCCCCTCCCCTTCCCAAAGCTGGGATCGTAGGCGTAAACATATTAGTCGCCGGGATTGAACCTGTTGGTGTCAGTTCCTCGTGACGTCCGCAAGTGTCGGCCAAAGCATTGCAACAGTGGCTGGCACGAAGTGGCTGTCGCCGTCACTGCCGTTGGCTTTTGTTGCAGCAGATTGCGGATGTGGTTGGCACTGGAGCAGATCCCACCACCCAAACACGGCGACGGGTGTCAATCCAGTGCTTCTGACCGGGGAGAATACGCCACTTCGAAGGAACCACAACAAGGGCGGGGGACGATACCGCAGAGACAGGAGCACACCAGCACAGGGAAAAGGGTCACACCACTAGCCGCTAGTGTAGGAACTACAGTAAGATCTGCCAACGAACAGCCGTAACCATGCTTATATCAGCTCTCATCGAGGGAAAGCAACCAGGCAGAGACAAGTTCACAAGCTAACCATGAAACACAAAACACGACGGAGAACGGGAGAACACAGCGGACGCCCCAAACAACACCACAGGCACGGGCCTACACTGAAGGGGATGGGGGGAGGGGTGACGAAAAACCCGGAAATCAAGAATGAGGGGCCTCAGGCCGTGGATCATGTATGTAATTTTGTATGTAATCTGTATGTACGTGTGGACGAATGTACGGATGTATGTATGGATGGGTGTATATGTGTGATGTATGTTAAAATCGGCTTCTGGTTTCCGATGGATGCGTTTGGTTTTTGAATCAGCCGTTGTGGTTTCCGAATCAGCCGTTCTGATTTCCGAATCATGCTTCGAATCAGTCGGTCTGGTTTCTGAATTAGCCTCCGTGGTTCCCGAATCAGCCGTTTGGGTTTCCGGATCATGGCTGGTTTCTAAATCGTTGCGGTTACCGATGTTCCCGCCGACCCCGCCGTTGTCTTTGTTGAATGCGATCCACCCACATCAACTCTAAGAACATGGTATTGGTACCTTTTGGTACGATTTCAGGCGCATGTCCACACTGACTGCACGCTTCGCGCTGTAGCAGCCATACGCGACAAATGCTTCAAGCAGGGATCGAGCGAGAACCAGTTTCCTCAGATTTGAGTGCCAACATGTGCAGGCTGAGGAACGCTTCCATCAGCTCGACCGCATGTTGGCAGAGTGGCGCCAGGAGAGCGTTAATGAACTTGGCATGCAGTATACAAGATGAGCAGGCGGAAAGGTTGAAAGGTATAGGACTTGGGCTTACTCAAGGCCATGGGTGCGAAAACCTTGTTGGACCTTCTCTCGCAACAGTTGACGAGCAACCACTGACGTTCTAGAAACTAAGAGGACAAATGCGATGGGTCGCGAAGAAAGGTTGAGGTTGGTCTGCGTTGGGTGTGTCCAAAGTTCAATGCCTGGCATGCAGTCGGGCATCCTGGTCTGCTGAGTCTGCTTGCACCTGCGATTCTGTTCCTTCTCGAAGTGATTTCTTGTGCTGGATGCAGCACCGTGCCTTTCTCACTCCACTGAAGCACAAATCGAAAGCTGGTGAGATGCAGAATGATGCAGATGACGTCCTTTCTCTCGTTCCGAGTGGCTGAATGATTAGCCTTTCTGCTGTGTGTGACATGCGAGTACAGGAGGAGCAGACGTCCAAAATGGAAGGCCGTATCGGAAACTCGGGAGTCTGGTTGACAGCTGGACTGGATTTTCTGCCTTCTGTCGCTAGTTTGCATCGGGTATGGGCTGAGTAGATCTGCTCGCTGCTGCTGGTTTGGCAGGTCGAGCTTCTGGCGAAAAGCTTGAAGATCAGATGTGCCAATTGTCTCCTGGACGAGTCTCATCGCCACAGGTTGCCAGCAGAGGTGTGAGGGTGGTGAAGCATCCAGCTTCACCAGGTGCTGTCAGCGCTGGCAGCCAAGCAGACAGTCGTTGTGACAGCGGTCTTCCTCGAAGGTTTCTTCTCAATCGCACCACCCCGGCCCTTCCAGTCGGAGTTGGTATTTCCTCGACCAAACTGCAGGGCAAGGTGATTTCAGGGGCTGCTGCTTTTCCTTTTGCAAGGCCTGTGTCACCCATCGCCGTGCCGGCCGGGGCACCAGGCTACATAGGCCAGGCTCAGGCAGGCGTGGCTCTTAGGCGCTGAGAGGCGCCACCGCGCACCTTCGTGCTTGCCACAAAGTAGTGACCTTTTTCGTCTTCCGACAGCACGAGTTCCGACCATACACGACAGTTCCGTCAAAGAAGGCAAACGGTTGTTGGAAACAGATGCTGTCGAGGACCACGACATATTTGCAGATTTTGATCACTGAGTGCTTGGTTTTTCTGATGATGCGAAGCATCGTAAGTCGTAACTACACATGGCAGGCTTTCCATAAAGTGCAGGATTTTCTCCACTTGGACCGGGAAGCAGGTCAATCCTCCGCAAAGCGGTGTGATATTTCCATATCTGGACATGCTGCTTCCAGAGCAGGTTGGAGACTCATGTCAAAAACATCCCTGTTCGTAGTCGTAGCTCGAGAGCGTGGTGAGAGAGGAAAAGGACTAAGGCCCCTGCAGTTCAGAAACTGTTCGCCGCTTCTGCGTGCTGGGCCCGAGGCTCAATCCCGAAGAGTCCCAGTCCCGGAAGCGCCTGGAACCCGCCCCGAGGATTGTGCGAAGAGCCCTTCACGGCACAGCTTTCCAGTTCAGCCCTTGACCACCGTTCTGTGGTCTCTGCGAGGCATTGCAAGGCAGCTCTAAAGCCCCAAGTCTGATCTTGCCCACTTTTTGCGTGACGAGCGCCTCTTAGTCTGCCATGATGAGCAGGATTGAGCAGGAATTGTCAGATCTTGAATTGCCTGAAGGACGCAACAATGCACTTTGTGGCCCAGAGTGAAGCGGGACAGGTCGTAGTCATATTGCAGGTCAGCAGTTCAAATACTACATAGTCGGCAAATATCCACGAGCTGCGCAGCAGAGCCGCCAAGCAAGCAGACGGATTGCTGCGACGACTCCATGGTGATCTAGTTTTCTGGATTCAAGCCACGTGGGGTGGCTGCCACGAGTATCATGCAATGGAGGCCTGCAGCGGCGATGACCTTGCTGCTTTCGAAAAGAGCTCCATCAAACACGTGGCGTTCCATGTTGAATGGAAGGGACGTGTAATACCGTAAACTGGTGATGATTGCAATCGTGGCGAAACTGGCCAAAATGCCTCCAGCAGACCCTGCCGACGCTATGTGAAAGTAGCAGGAACAGCATGTTAAACACAGGGTCTGAAACAAGCAGAAGTTTCGCCTTCTGTGACTGGTGACAGGGTTCCAAAATTTTGCAACGGATCTGCTAGGCATGCTTAATTCCAACCGAGCCGGGAAAGTCTACATGGTGCCTGCGTCTGCAATCCCTGCCCCTGTGCAAATCAAGCACCCAGTGGTAGGACGAGTCGAAAAATTGGTGTGCCCCGCCAAAACCTCTAAATGGAAGCCTAAGGTGCCGAAGCCGATGCTAGAGCCGTCGAGAGCACTTCGGATCTCAGTTAATCGATAACATGAGATAACACACACACACACGCGACTGGAGTGGCATCTGCAGTCTACTTGAAGACAGAGCCTCTCTGTGACAGAGCCTGCAGGCTGCGGAGATGGACGGAGGCCTTGGAGTTGGCCTCCTGGAAGAGGCATTTCGCAGTCCTGCCGAGGACCATGGCATGCTGGCATTGGGTTGCACGGGAGAAGATGTATTCTTACATATTCTCCAAATCTCCTCGTCATGGAGCGTTTGTCAATGTCAGGTATAGTATGTATCGTTAGAAGATGGGCGGGAAACATTCCATGTCATTTTTCTTGTGCAGTGCAATTTAAGAAGGAGAATGTCGGCCCGGCTTACACTGTGGAGTGGGATCACAGCCTAGCCGAGCTGACGCATGCATCCAGGTCGCTCGATTCTGGCAAACATGTGGCATCCGAAACTCCTTGTGTTCTGTTTTGAGGCTGAAGGGCTGAAGGGGGCTCTGCATGGAGTCGATGAAGGAGTTGCTTCAGCCTAGCCAACATGTGTGATGCCAAGCAGGGGTCCCAAGCCGAGAACACGAGGATGACGATCGGAACAGTTTTGACCGATGACATGTGTCTCAGGTAGGTAAGACAATTAAGAGATAGTCTGCGTGTGTCTCTTTGTGTGTGTGTGTGTGCGTGCGTGTGTGTGTGTGTGTGGGTGTGTTTGGGCGTGGTAGGGAACGGCATTTCTGAAAAAGTGCTATATCAGAAGTTGCCCTAAATGAAAAGCCCTTTGGATCCCTTTGGTCACATTGCGGCCCAACATGCAAAGCCTTTCGCCCCGCACCCGCTCATTTGACTTTCGCACAACATGGTGTGTGGATCTTTCTCTGCAGGTCACCAATACCTGGCCAAGTGCGGGAAGCCTTTGGCCGTGCGCGGCAGCGTGCAAACTGCGGTTTGTTTGCCGAGGGACTGGCCTGGGCGTCCTTAGATGACGTGTTGCGGCTTTACTGCAAGATTCGGTTATAAAATGCATTGAGCACAGTGTTGGAGTTTTGGACATTGCGTTTCGAGGTATTTGTGGGACTACTCGGACATGTCCCCGAGTGTTCACTCGGTCCCGGGCGATTCTGCCATCATCTCGGTTGCGCTGTGCCCTGCCAAATCGGGGATTTTTGAGACTCAGCAGCCGCGCTGGGTGCTGGTAATTGCCACCAGGCTATCAGTAAGCCTTGTTGGCGTGAATTTCGCTCGAAAAGAGATTCGAGCTTCACGCGTGCCAGATGCTACTCCGGCTAATGTTTCACTGAGCGACTGGACGTCTTCAGCCAGAGCTGGGATTCCAGGAGTGCCAGTCAACTCAACCCAAAGCCAAAGCAGCTTACATTTTGTCCCTCTGCAGGGCTTTCGCGCCTTATCTGAGGGTGCTTTATTCCATTCCATTCATTCTTCTCCGGGTGGGCGCATTTTCCTATTGTCTGGCGCACCACACATCTATGAGCTCTTGTGCTCACAAGCTGGCTGGTATCGTGCAAAGTGCAGACTAGTACGACATTGTGTGGGACCAGGCTGGGAGCTATTGTGGGAAAGGGTCGGACAGGGGACATGAAGGGAATCCTTGCCGTGGCGGTGCGAAGAGCGCAGAGCACACATCCACTCCTTTGGTTGCCTCCGCAAGGCTGGTGGAAGAGTCCGAAGCCTGGCCGCCTGCGGCTGCTATCTTGTGGTCCTGCAGGCGCGTAGAATCTAGACATATCGAGAATCGATTTCCTGTTGCTTCTGTTTGTCGTGGCATGTTCAACGCATTGTTGATGCTGGGGCAAGGCCATATTCTTACATGCGACGATGTCGGAACTCTACGACTGTGCTGGGCGATGGATCAGATTGGAGGCAGCATGCCTGCGCTGCGCCATGCAGTCGTAGAAGCTGCGTGCATTCCCGTGTGCATTTTCCAGGTTCTTCCACTCTGGAAGAGCTGGCCTCGCTAACTGCAGTGGCTCTGCGTGACCAGGTCCGAGCCATCACTCAAGGTGCGATCACCTGTGCATATGGCGTCCACTACATTATTCTATATCCATGTCACAGGGCCAGCCCAACACTGCAAGCACAACAATTTATGCAGCATGCTGCAGTGGCGAATTGTTTGGTACTTAGTTCACAGGTTCTTTGGCATCCTTCACGCTGACGCACTTGTTCTGCTGGATGGGTGGCCGTCTCATGCGAGTAAGAACTTGCCGCGATGTTCCGCGTTCCGGAACCGGGCAGTTCATGGCCGTCGCCCAGAGATGTGCAAGATGAGGTGCGACTGGCCAGCTTCTCCTGGATGCCACGACCATTGCCGGAGAGCGACTACATTTTGCAGCAAACTTATTCACCCCGAATCGAGTATGTGACAGACGAACGCATGTTTCATTGTCCATGAATGTGTGCACACATGCAGCCGTGCATGCATAGATGCCTTCTGAGATTCGGTCAGGTCTGCTCTGTGGAAGGCGGGCCATGGGCAGCAGGGACCGTGACAGGGCTAAGATTTCCTCCTGAGCGGAAGGATCGACTCGACGAAAATACGGCTTCTGGCGCGAAGCCTTAGAATTAGATCGCTCGTGACGCAAATTGAATACCGCATTTGCAGACTGCGAAGATATGCAGGCTTCAACATCTTGCCAGCTCTTGGTCATCACGTCCAAGCGCTGAAAGCCATGAGAGCCGAAGTGTGCGGATCTCCTGTTTGGAGGACCATTGCAGCTTCAGTCATGAAAGATCTTGCAGGCATGGTGGAACAGCAGTGGGCTAGGAATCCGTGTCCTTGTGCTCCATCTGTAAATGCTTTACAAATTCCGTCGGGTGGCTCGCACAGAAGCAGGAATTTCGGGCTCAGTTCCAGCTCCCGACAAGCGACTGCTGACATGATGCGGTCACGAGAACGGCAACACACGATGCTACCAGGAGCATCCGGATCCATGCTTTTTCGCACCTGGTGCTGACGGTCCCCGAGCTTGATTTGATCAGACGTGACATTGAAAGTGAGGGACCTGTTCTCACAGTCCGAAAGGGAGAAACGGAACCTTCCGAGGTGCTTCGACACTGGGCTCCGTCTGGCTATGTGCAGCCTTGCGAAGGGCCGGTGCATCAGCATCAGATCTCGCGGTGTGCCAAACTCGGCGGTGTACCGAAAGCACACGCAGCTGGCTGCCACTTTCTCTTCAGGTCGGTTCGACTGAATGGCGTGCCACACGATCACTTTCAGCCTTTGAGCCCGGGGATCAAGAGCTGCGCTGCACTGAACTGCGAAACTGTGCGAATCTCACGTACTCTAACAGAGGCCCCAAGCAGGCAGTGGAGATGCAGGCATGGCTTGATCAGCTGGTGATTGAAGACTGATTGAAGACTTCTAAACGCAGTGGAGGTACCTTCGACCGACTTTGGAAAACAGACATGTCGTAGGCCCATACTGTAGTCCACAGCCATAGCAGCGCTACTTTCGCCTTGAGGATGGTGGCCTGTCTTTGTGCATGCGCTATTCAGCCTAAGCTGCATAAAGCGGACAATATCCAAAATCGAGTCCATGCTGAACGCGTCTAGAGCTTAGAAGATCCCTCTGGGTAAAGTCTTGCTCCTGTGCGTAGCTAGTTGACTCTCCAAAATGCGTAGTGTGGCGTCATGCCAGCATGTGGAGGCTTACCCGACCGGTTGATTAGATTAGCTGGTGTGTTGGACGCAGGGTCCATGGAAAGCCGAGCTTCCAAGTAAGATCCCGAACAGAAGAGAGACACAGAGAGACAATAGCAGACAAGAGAAGCAGAGTGACGGAGAGTGGACGTTCACGACAGGGAGTTCCGTTCAATGCTGCTGACTGCTTCATGTTGTGGCCCTGGTCTGGTCAGGGTATGCTCAGTTTTGATGCTCCAGTGCTGGCCATTGCTCAAGAACAGTCACAACCTACATGCCGGGGGCATACGTTGGACCTCGGTCAACAGTCCTCAGGAAGTGCCTGCGTGACATGCATGTTGAAGATCACAGATCAGGCCAGAAATTCGCTGTCCTCCTGGCTGACCGTGTACAGACAGTGACCATCGCGCACCAGGCAAGGGTCTTCGACAACTCTAGGGCTGGGTGTGGAAGGGAAAGACGGGAATTCCAGGCATCGGCAGCGAAGAGAGCCCCGGCGGAAGCAGCGGAATGTTGCCTATTCCTGCAGTCCTTGACTTCCGGAACAGCTCCTGGTGGAGCCACAGGCGCTTAGCGTTCACGTAGCAACTTAGCATCGACGTTCCTTTTTCACGAGAGCCTGACGCGGGCGAGGCAGCCGGATCCAATACGTGTCGCTCTTAGCCTGGCACTGGGTTCGGCGGGATCTCGAGTTTCTGGCCAGGGATTGCACAGTGCCAGGACTGGTGCTGGAGCCTAGACGACGCCCGCTTCCCGACCTTTGAGGAGCAGCGACGTGCGCAACTACTGAACCAGGCTGCCAGAGCCCCGTGACTAATCATGCAGATTCGAAAGGTACTGCAACGTACCACGTGTGCGAAGATGCGTTTGTCGTTTCGCCAGCAGTTGCCAGAACTTTGCATGACTCGCATGATCGTGCAGCACGCTCACTCTGAGCTGTCTGTCTTCCTTTTGCACGTGGCTACATGTCTCTCCCGGCCCCCTGGCGAAGTACGACAGTGTGCGCCAGCGTAAATTCCTGATGCTTTCGAAACAATGCAGGTAACGCGATAAACACCCAAGTGGCTTCTTGTGAGAAACAGACCCCCGCCTAAACATCCCAGCGTTCATGCCCCAACCGAGTGAAAGCACAACCGCACGCACGCAGCCGCGCAGCCACCCAGCCACCCTAGCCACCCAACCACCCATGCCGCACCCACACGACTACGCCCACACCCACGCCCACACCGACACTCACACCCACAGCCACACCCACACAAACAGCCACTGCCACACCCGCACCTTCACCCACACCTTGACCCACAAGCACACCCGTACCCACATCCACATCCACACCCACACCCACATCCACACCCACACGTCTACGCCCACATCCACACCCACACGTCTGCGCCCACAACCACACCCACACGTCTACACCCACATCCCCACTCACACCCACACCCACACCCACACACCTATGCCTATGCCCACAGCCACGCCCACAATGGCACGCTGAAGACTCTTACAAAGCAAGGCAACCCATTTTTAGTCCTTCAACACCCTTCACAACTCAGAGCAAACACCTCTTTCGTGACTCGTCAGAAGGCAAACAGCTGCACGACCGTGTCTGCACCTGCGCTGTTGAAGTGAGAGGAAGTTAAAAGCACATCGACATCGACGTTGCGGGATGGCCTTAACTACCTACAAGATATCATTCCCTTTTCAGCTTTCCAAAGCACTTGCTTTCTCGCACAAGCCGTCATTGCCAATAAAGCTGCAGCAACACACGATGCATGGCATTGCGCTCGAAGTTGCGGGATGGTCACGAGTTGAGAGACCTCATAAAATTGAGTGAGAAGCATCGAGACGCAGGGTCGCTCAGCAGTCAAAAGCGAGGTTCCAAAGATGATCTTGGGTGCGCTGCTTAAGAAAGGTGCTTGATGTGCCTGGGATCCTTTGCTGTTGGGCCATCAGCTTCCGTGTTCCTTCAGAGGTCGCTGGCCTTCGGGACTTTTGCGTTTTCTGTCCGAGACGCTGCGCAGTGTTTGGACTCGGCCCCTGCTCTTGACACCGGCAGGGAGCCTCAGAGAGACCTCGAAAAAGATCGAACGTGGCTTCCTCTCATGGCAGGCTCGTGTCGTGGAGGTCCCTTCGCTGCCGCTCAGCCTGTGCCGTAAGAGACGAAGGACGGGTGCCACATGGTGCCACAGTTCTGCACATCCGCACGTGCATGGGAGCGTTGAATCAGCATAAATCAACCATGAGTGTGCTCTCTTTGCAGGTGCGCTTCGCCCCCGGTTGTCGCGATCAGTTCGGGTCCCTGTCACGCTACGCACTAAGGGATGCACAAGATCGGCTTGTAGTAAGGTGAAATGGCCGCGAGAAAAATCTTCTCGCAGCTTGAGCCAGTGATCCATTTCGTGGCAAAGGCGGCTGTGCGAATTGGCGCGGATCGCTTGCAATGTGTCATGAGTTATGAACATTGGCAGCCACCGCCAGGGGCTCGCGCACAACGCCGAAGAACAGGCAAGTCGAAGGGCACCGACTGCATGTGAATGAGGTGTTGCGGTTGCTTTTGTTTGTCCTTTTGATGGGCAGGTGCCGTTCGGCACACCCTGCTCAGCGGTGATGCGTGCGCAGCTCTACGTGAAGCGTACTGAGGCGGACTGCTGCAGAAGTGTGCGCTCGTTGCCTGAAGACAGCGAAGATACATTGACATGGTCAAGTATGCTCCGATGTCACAGAATGCAAACTTCTTGAAGGACTACTGTCGCTTCTGTTATCCAGCTATGTTGAGCTCAGACGGATTTATCAATGCGCATGGAGCGGGGTTTCCATACACCGTCGGTTTAAGGACATCACACCAGTCTGTGAAATCTCTAGCTATTTGCCATGGTGCGATACAGCCGCTACACTCTGTTGCGGTTTGGACTTCGCTTCAGTGTCTTGCATAGTTACGACGCGATGTATGATCTTACTCCTGCACTCCATGATTCCTACAGGGGCATGATTTCTTAGCGGCTTAGCGAAGTCAGAAGCTGTGAGCATGCTGCGAGGCTGCGCACGCACCGTCCAGCTGCGACTCAGCACAAGCGCGTGTGAGAAGGCACACGGGCAAGATTTGAAGAGCACTGGTATAACGCATCTGGTATATCGCAAAAGGCACGGGGGATCGATCATTCAGCCGGTCAAACGTGCCCTAGCAAGACAACCCCACAACAAGTTGACCCCGCACTCGCCACCGGCCTGTTTGCATCGAAGCTGTCCAGATTCGAAGCTGTCCAGATTCTCACATCGACAGTATACAGTATTCATTTCTGTCCCGAAAGCACCAGAGGAGGGAACATTGATCCCTACCATACTAAGACAATGAACCGCTTCTCAGCTTGGTTCGACGTCGGAGCTGACTCATGAAACGTGACTTGTTCAATCTTGTTCAAGTTTTTGGGAGCACAGTAGTCCAGCAACAGCGGTCATGTTTCGCAGGGTGTGAGCAGCGTCCGTTCATTCTGACATAATGAGAAGCTTTGCTCTTCAGCAGGTGCACTTTCGGCAAATACGTTGGGATATGTAAGAGCAGTTAGACTTAGACAGTGTAGGGCAACGGAAGCAGACATGCCACATGTATCATGCTGACGAAAGACATCGCCTCTAGAGCAACTGCCGGGAGGTAGTCTCAGAATCGGAAGCGCAACATTGCTGAATGTACCTGCGAGCTTGGAACCCTTCGTTCAACAACGGATCTGAAAATGGGCAGTGTCTGAAAGAAAAGAAAGCCAGGATGCGGGACAGAGTGCAAGCAGAGGCTCAACAACAGAAGTGGGAGCTTGCTTTTAGTTCGAGAAATGCATACTGGTAGCATCCGGTAGCATATTTCGAGAAAGCAGAAGCATCAGTCGTCTAATTGGCTTGCACGACAGGGCATGCAGTCGTCTCCTGTGCGGTGGGCACCTGAAATGCTCGGACAGAATTCGATGACTGATGCTTCTGCTAACTTGAACCGTCAAGATGTCCATGTGCCAATGTTCCTTACAGTTCCTGCATTCCTCTGGCAGACGAAGAACTGAACACCGTGGCACAAAACGTCCCAACCCTTCCAACGGGAACGCCACGTCGAGCACGCCATCTGTGTCAAGTGATCGCTCTTGGACCTTGGAAAACGGACCTGGGAAAATCTCGGATCTCGAAATGTATGACCATGTATGGCCTGTGAGCATGACAAAGCCTCTTTGCTGGGTGCCAACAGTCTTCACCTTCGGTCTCTGGGATCACGGCTTACGGATTTAACCCTTCCGCTGCTCCCGGCCTCTCCGACTGCGCGGACCGTAGCGCTGTTGAAATCTATGGCGACAGTATCCTAATGATGATGGTGATGAGGATAAGGAGGGTGATTTCACGACGATGATGACAATGAGCATGTTGAAGCTCAAGACATGGATGAGGATGACACTCTCTCATGGACTGTCGGTTGTTCGGGCAGCATTTGTCCTCGAGATAGACAGCTTCCTCGGTTGATGCAGTGTCTGCCAATTGGGACGACCTTGATTCCTCCGGATCCGCGCTGGGGGACCCCGCAGGCGGCACTAGGGCCTGAGGTGGGGAGCATCTCCTCATCTCGGGCCGAAGAGATCTTCCATCACTGGACCAGCGCGGAGTGACATTGCCATCATTCCACACCAACTACGAGGAGGCCCCGAGGAGGCCCCGACTTCCATGATCCATGCAGCGGCCCCACAGGGTGGCAGGGATAGGGTCTACTCTGGTTGCAACCCTCGCCGGGCGAATGGTGGCAGCGGGTTATGTCTCACAGGGCACCTTTGATCGAGACGCAGGCGCTTATGGGCCGATTCAAATCTATTCAACAGGGAAGCGCGATTATTCAGCCCGCTCACTTGTGGCAGCCATGGGGGTGCGGGAGTAGGATCCACCCCGGTCGCAACTCCAAGGATTTCCACCGGAAACAACACTTCTACCACTTCCACTCTCATGGCATTTATCTCGTCGTCGTTTCGTGCCGTGGGTTCTTGTGATTGTCGTTGTTCGTTGTGTTGCCGGGGCTGGCTCTTTGGGCCTTGCGTCGGAGAGGCCGCGTTTTTGTTGGGCCAGGCTCGTGCCGCGGTCGATGCTCACCTCACCTCACTTCACCTCACTTTACCTCACTTTACCACACTTTACCTCACTTTACCTCACCTCACCTTACCTCACGACCTTGATTGGCACTTTTGCTTCCGGGCGCGGTGGTGCAGCCGCACTTCTGCCGTGACACAGAGGTTTTCAGCGTGGCTTTGTGCCCGGCTCGCTTTCCGTCGTGATAATAATGGCCCTGATGACGACGATCCAGCCTGCCCATCGCTGCCCGGGCAGTCTCTGGGAAGTAGAGTTTCGATGACTAAATGTGGTGGAATCGCTGCATGGGTTTGAAGCGTCAATCAGCCGAGCGTCAGTTTCCCAGCTGTCCTGTCTGGAAAGTTTGCTTCCCATCGCATGCTGAACAGTCCTGGCAGTGTAGTGCTGCTGCGGGCTGAGATATCAATTGCCGGCCATTCGACGATAGCCCACTGAACCCCATCACAGTCCTTGCAGCCAGCAAGCACAGTGCGGGAAGTGGCGCTGAAAACGACAGGACAGTCGGGAAGGGAGGAAGCGAGACTATCTGTGGATACTCCCCGCGGAGGAATAGCATGTGCACCGCGTGTCCTTGCCCCAGACACATGCCACACCCGGTGAGCCTCTCCGTCGTTGTCGGAGGCGGGATGGTGATGATGATGATGATGATACTTGTGATGGTTGATGTTATTGCATCATGCAGGCTGGTTGGGTAGGGCTCATTTGTGTACATGCACGCTCTATTGCAGCCATTGCGGCCGAAGACGCCCAGCCGTATCCTGCTTTTGAATCCCGCCTTATCCCGATCCTGAAAGGAGTGACTGACAGGCTGGACCTGTCGCTCGTATGAGCTCCTTGGTTTTTCGGAGATCTAGGATCTCAAGCTGGTCTGTCCTCACCAGTCGTGGGCCGCACTTGTACACCAATGTACACCAACGACCTAGACTCCTTGTATATTATGTTGATGACGATGCGTGAAACTCTAAGAACTGGTTTCGTGGTCTAAAGCGTAAATCGTCATTTTCGAAAATCTGATGTCTAGTTGGGAAAGGTGGATCGGAAGCAGTGGAAGCAGCAATCAGAACCCAAATGTTGGGATTATTTTAAAGGAAATTGCACGGTGAGGATCAGAACATGTCTGACACGGACATGCAGTGTGCAGTGGGCCATTTGAGCAGCCCCGTCTCTTGCAGATTTTATGTGAGGACGTGACTGCAGTGTCGAGTGTTCGCTTCCAGACCAGGGCAATGCTGGAGCTCTTGGATGTGATGGATCGAGCTCGGCAAGTTCTGGGCCTGATCTTCATACTGCACAAGTCGGGATGCGCGACCCCTAGTGATTACTGTTTTGTTGCCCTTGCTCCGTCAAACGCCACGTTGCCAGGCACGCAAGCTATACTGGAAAGTGCACCGCTGCAAGAGCATGACCCAGCAACTGCTTCTCATGGGTGCGGTGCCCGCGTTGGAGAGTTGTCAGTACTGCAGAGAGGGATGGATTCGGCACCGTATGAAGGGTGGCAGAACCGGCAGATGCCCTGGCCCCAGTCCTGGCAGCCTGGCGATTGCTTGTTTTCACTCTCGTCCAAGGTCTTGTTGCCGAGTGCTGCATCTTTGCTGCTCAGCCGATCCTTGCGAGACCTGGTGCTGTCTCCAGTCGCACTCTGGCCTGCTGTCCAAAGCCCAGCGAGTTGTTGATGCGATTTCACACAGTGCTTTGTTTCCAGTGTCGCGCCCTGGACCGAAGTGGCTCATGCAGCACTCCAAACAAGATGCGACATCAAAGTCTCCAAACGTGCAGGTTCAACTATGCACTTCTCTGGTTATGCAGGCAGGAAAGCATGCTTTTCATCATCGCATGGGACAAGACAGGTGCAACGCATCGTGGTGTTTTTGCAGGCAGTGCAAGGGAATGCAGATGAGTCTCCAGAACAAGAAGGTGTGGGTGCGACAGTAATTTTGCTTGGGGAGCGAGAGTGTAAGCTGGCAGCTGAACCATTTGAGAAGTCATGTGCTTTTGTTTATCTGCACCTTCTCTACAGGTAGATGTTTAGTGACTGCCCAGGCTTTGGCCGTTCAGCTGCGGGACTTCCACACCATGTACAAGCAGACAGCATATGCAAAGAGCTACAGGACGGATGTGGGCAGCCACGCTTCGATGGTTTTTCATTGAGTTTCGGGCAATACCGCGCGCAACCGTGCATGTCGCTGCAGTGGTGCAAGGTTCATCTGGCATGGCCCCATAGAAGCCTCCATGTGCATCGACAGGCTCATAGTGGCTGTGTTGGCTCAATACAGGGACAGGCTTCTTTGCCTTGCGACTTACTTGAACTGCTCAAAACGATCTTGCTTGTTTGCCGAGACGCAACGAGCCTTGTTGACGATCAGTGGCTTGGTTGCTGCAGAAAGCTTTGCGATTTTGCCGAGCAGCTATCTGCAAGTGAATGAGCAGAGTTGTTCTACTCGCGGTTGGTCTCGGCCGGACTGCCCCAGGCATGGCGGACCAAAGCATACCTCCTGCAGAGCTGAAGCAGCGACGAAAGAGCTTGAATGAGTCGAGGCCTGGAGACACGCTCAGAACGTTCTTGCAGCATGAAGCACGAGTTTGATGGGTTGTTTTTACTGTCAGGTTAAAGACTGCCCGCCTGTCCGTCGCCGGTACTTCGCATACTCCTCGTCCAGAGCAGCGGAGTCAAGGCAGGTCTCTGGGCTGCTGGTCGGCTGTATTCCAAGACTTCATCGCCATTTGTCATGATGGAGTCCGGCACAAGCGACCTTCAGGCCGGACCAAGCGTCAATTGGACAAGCGACCAGTTTTGTGCCTTGACAAAGAGAGAAGGGCCCCTTGCTGTCGCACATGATTCAACACAATCCCGCAGAATTAAGCCATTCCAAGCCCGCAGTGGGCTTACAATCTGCGCCGTGTCGCACAATTGATAGTTTTTCTGTAGGCGGCTGCTGGCAGAACTTGCCCCTGCACTCAAAGAAGAGAGAAGTATCCTGGCAAGTTTGTCTGGGCTCACGAAGGCTCCGTTTGCAGGCACAGCACATGTCCAAGTGATGTGACGGACCTTCTGCTACACTCAGCTCAGCCACGTCTTTTGCCAGGTACCGCCGACAGTGCATCTGACGCCTCTTGGCCTTTTCCCTAGCCTCTGTAACCCGCCTTCGTGCAATTTCCAGTTGAAGTCTGACCAGGGTTCGGCTTTGGTTCAGGGCGATTTGGTGCTAGGCATGTCGATTCTGCGGAGGCTCCTGGAGATAGAATCCCGACATCTGTGAGTTGAATCCACAAGTGTGAAGGTCTTCTGGCTTGCTCTGGCAGTGGCAACCACATCCTTGGTGTTCGTACGACGCGACGATGGTGTCTGGGAGACTTGAGTCATTCATCTAACGGGTCATCCACAAACAGCGCAGAGTAACTATATGTAATTGTGAATGCTTCGTGTCGGTCCGCATCGGCTCGATCAGGTGAAGAGAAGAGTGCACAAGAGGACAAATGCGGGCGGGGAGTGGGCGCTTGGGGACTGGGTGGAAGGGCTGGAGGAAAGGCTTTTTTTGAGCCAATCAGGGGGTTGAGTTATCAGGACACTTTCTGCCGTCAGGATTTTGGCCGTGGGGGCTTGGAAGCCAAAGTCCAAGTTTTTTTGGGGGTGTGTGGCCGGGTGGGTCACTGGGGGAGGAAGGAGGCGAAAGAGGTTGCCGGAGGTGTGACGGCTCCAGGCGAATCTATGCGGACAGAGATTTCGCTTGTGGCTGTTCCGATGGAGATGGTAGAGGTGCCTCGTACCAGTCGGAGCATCAGAAGCAGTGCAACCGGCAGCAAAAGAGATGCGAAATTGTCAGTCAGGTAAACATGGACAGTGCGACCAAGCGATCCGTGGGCTTATGTTCCGTAGTATGATGTGTTGCGGGTCATTGCAAGATATTGCCAGCAACCGAACACCGCCATCAAAGCTCACTCCGCAGTTGTGCCAGCAATTAAGTTTCCTGGCAAATGTGCCTTGTTGTTGACATCGACCCTGATTCGAAGACCGTCTGCTTACTCGCCAGAGCAAAGCTGCTCGGTGACCACGCGGTCATCCGTTGTCCGAAGAGCGACCCGCAGCTTCGGTCGGAGCCGTCAAGATGCATGGCTCCATTAGGACGCAAAGATACGCAAAGAATGGGTCCAGAATGGATCGCTGTGCATTTTTTGCCAAGACTTCGTGCAACCTTGAGTAGAGCACTGACTGGTGTGCCCGCGAGTGGTACATCCGTCCCACAGGAAGCAGTGCCCACATAAATCCAACACCAGTCAGCGAACGTCACCGATGCTGTCTCCAGTCTGCGCAGTCGTGGGCATCCTTGCAAATGCTGCCGCTACATAGACGACATGACCCAAGCCCAATCTGGAATTCGTCGAGGGCGTGCCGCTGGAGCTCGCCGCACACAAGTCAAGGTGAGAGTCAATGAGTACAGGGAGTTTTCAGACCAAGAATCTACTTGGTAGCAGAAGTAGGGAGCCAGCAAACCGTATAGCGAGAGCATGTGGCTTCTTTTTGTTTTTGTTTTTTTCCTTGTGTGTGTGTGTGAGTGTGTGTGCGTGTGCACGTGTCTGTCCGTCTGTCTGTCCGTCCGTCCATCCCGTCCGTCCGTCCGTCTGTCCGTCTGTGTGCGGGACACTGCACATGTGGGGAAGACTTCTACTGGAGCTGCCCACCCTGATTTTTAGAACCGATGCATGCAGCCAGGGTGCCAGGGATGCATGCTGGACTGGCACCAAAAAAGATGCCAGCCAGCATGGCATCTGTGATGCGAGTGAGTGACCTGCAAGTCGTAGCGTGTGACATCGTGATCGTTTGAGCATGTCTGAGCCCTTGCAGCCATGGTAACCCTATGTGGCTGGGTGAGGTAGGTGCATGCTAGCGAGCTTGCCACAGCCTCATAGAGCACGCCGGATTTGCACGAGATGCAAAGGGTTCGTGTGCCATATTGAGACCTGAGAATCTGAGGACTCGATCCTTGGTGCTGCGCTGCTTTGCGTCTTCTGGTACATCGGCCAGTGCGGTGGCAGATTTCTTGCCCAGAACTGGAAGTACTTGCCCATCCCTTCTGCAGCGGATGTCACCACTTTCGCCGTCCTCTCAGCCTTGAGGCCTTCTGACGAGCGTGTGATGAGTGTGATGTATCGTAGGATTGTGCTATCCGATTATCACGAAAGCTAGCCCCCGTGGAGCCAGCGGAGTATCTTACTAAGCGAAGCTTACAACCAGATAGGTATATAGGGCCCCCGGAGGCTCCGCCACGAAAAGCAGCAAACCCGGTCGGTTTTCGGGACCGAATCGCATATTTTGGGGAAACGAGTTGGCGTTCATTTCTTTTGTATTGTGGTGCAAATGAACACCGCTTTCTGGGTCCCAGGGGGGTTCTAGGCGGGTCCCAGGCACGGTAAAAAAACACGGACGCTTGCATGTGCCTGCTCAGCTGCATGCCTTCGGTCCTGGGAGGTGCCCTTCCGTCAGGGTACCTTAACTAGCTTTCGTCCCAGGCTCTCACCCCCAAGTCCGAGATGAGATGAGGCCCCAAGCAAGTTTAGACAAATAGTTGCTCATAGAAAGCAGTCTAGCTTAGCCAGCGTTGGCGTAGTCAAAGCAGGAAAGCTGTTTGTCGTAGGGAGAATAACGCGCAACAGCATGTCGGGCGCGATCCAAGCAGGTGGCCCCCAAAATGACAAGTAAGCAAAGCACGGTGTGCATTCGCCTAGAAATTTCACCTTTTTGTGGCCTGGTCTCGGACATTTGAGCTGACAAGTTCGGGCATTTTGCCAATGACGACGGGGAAAGAACAGAGCGAAGGATGTCGGCATCTCCGAATTGGGCACAGCCAAGGAAGGAGAAGGGACAAGACACCGCCGTTTGGAGTTTCAGAGTTCTGACCAGTTTGCCAGCCCTCGGATCCTCCTCCAAGCTGCACGAAACTGTGAGCATGCACTTTGATGCCATGGGTCTTCAGGTCATCTGTGGAAGGCTTGGGAGGACCATTGGCTAGCGTCTTCTTCTTGGCCTGCGAGCGCTCGCCACGCTTCTCGGCTTGAGCCCGTGCAACACGCACTGCTCTGCACTTCTCGCAGAAGTTGTTGTCTCATGACCTGCACACTATTTCTTTTTCCAATCTCCGCATTTCAAGAGCCGAGCTTCCAATGTCCAACACTGGATTTGCACGCTAAGGGAGCACAGACAGCACAGACGATGCTCAGACTCTTGGCGCCAGGGATCCAGTTTCGTAGCGTATGCTTAAAAATGCATATTCAGCATGTCATGTAGTGAAAAAACTTATCGAATCCGAGGGATGTGAAACCACAGCCTTTACAGCACGTCGATGTTAAAGTTGGTGAGGTGCTTCGCGAGAAGGTCAGATACTCGATAGCTTCGAACTGAGATGCGCGGCAAGCTGCAACCCTTTTACCGTGGCAGCAAAAGCGGGTTGTGTTGCCAGGGCAGGAGCATGGTGCTGGAAGACATGAACAGTGCGGCCTGTACCGGGTGTAGACCAAGCCATGTGGTTTGGACTGCAAACAGTACACGCTCACAAGGGGCATGTGGTTCACAAGCATCTGGTCACAGCAGACCAATCGAAACTACAATAGCATGCCAGGACAGAAACTGAAGTTTGGGCACAAGGCAAAGTGCTGGCACGACAGAGGCTGACGTGGAGGAGTTCTGGAGGAGGATGAAGCTCCCCGACCACTGAACCAGCGAAACCGGTCTTTTGAATAACTTGGTCGAGAGCTGTAACAGCTGTGTTTCGGTCTTCGGTGCTTCTCGGCGGACCGGTGGCAATTCGACTGGGGGTGCACGTATAGATTTGCCCAGAAGACAACCCGGTAGTATCCTACCGTCTGCATACACTGCAGTATTCCTCAGAATTCACGCAGCAGGGCCGCAGACGGTTGGCGAGTGCCTTGAGCGTACATGGTGTGCATTCCGCAGAGGTTCGTTCTTGGAGTTGATGCTCTTTCTTTCGCGAGGTTGCATTCATATTGCCAGCATGATTTCATGCTTCGTGCATCCGGTTCAGCCCGGTGTCTCCTGGATACATAAGCCCTGGATCTCGTTTAGCACGCCATGAACTCTGGTGCATTTCGAACTGATTTGTTTCCGCATGGTGCGCGACGCTGGAGGGGAAGGAGTTCGTTTTGCTTGGGTTCCCTTACACAAGCCTTCCAAAAGCCGGTAAAGTATGGCATCTGGTTGATGATGTGTTGACGATGGAAGCCTCGCTTGCAGCATCGACAACATGACGTACGTACGTGGAGTCGAAATGGCAACCAAAGTGAAGACGCCAGGCGAGCTTAGACAGAGAGTTGAGAAGAGGCAAGTCACCCGAAAGGAACACACTTGCGAGCCCACGACCACTCGGTTTCAGGAAGGTTGGCTAGTTGGGTTGAAGTCATCTCAGGGGCTTCTGGCTGCGCTGGGTGCCAGCACTCCGTGATGCTTCGATGCTGCTGTTGCTGGCTCGCGTGCTGCGTGCTGGCGAAACCGCTGCCGAGCTTCTGTACCTCTGCTGCATTTTCCTCGATTGGAGTGTTCAAAGTGTGGCGGTTTCATGTACTTGTGGTGATGTGGCTGTTCACGCTCGCATGTGCAAGCATTGAAGATAGCGGCCTCCAAAACTCGCATGGTAATTCGCGAGGGACTTGAAGGCTCGTTGGGATTCGCATTGGCATTTTCAAAAGGTTGGGCTTTGTTCAAAGTGGCAGGTACAGCAGCCGGATCCTCACGACACAGCGATCAGAATTGTGGCAAAACACCCGTGAGCGACGGGTGCTTGCAGTATTGAGGCTCAGTGCTGGTTCCTTTGCAACTGTGTTCTTCGTACAGAATGATAGTGAAGATGGTGATTGTCCAGTAGACAGCCATGGTGATGCTGATGTACTCTAGATGGCGGTGATGATGTTGACGATTTTGACGGTGGTGCTGCTGATGATGACAATGGTGAGGTTGATGCTGCAACTGCCCCAGCTGGTCATCTTATTGACGACGACGGTGACGGTGATGTGATGGTGCTCATGACAGTCATTCTGATGATGATGATGATGACGATGATGATGATTACGACGATGGTGATGATTGCTGATGCTGCTGCCGCCGTCGTCATCGTTGTTGTTGTTGTTGATGATGTTGTCGATGTTGTTGACTGTTTGACAGGTTCATTGGTTGTTTGTTGCTGTTTGTCGGTTGACTGATTGTTTTTTGTTGGGTTGTTGGTCGTGGTCTATACAGGGCTTTGAGGCTTTCCCACTATTTGTCAAGACTTGGGTCGCATGCAATTGTCAGGGGTGCTGTCGAGAAGCAAAGCAGCGAAGAAGCACCTTGACCGCACTTGAACGCCTTGATGCTAGCAAGATGTGTATTTTGCAGGTTTCTCGTTGTTGCTTCCACAATCTAACCAAATTCGCCAAAGATTGACCGTCGTGTGACTTCCGAGCGAATTGGAACCATATAATTTCTCCTCCGCAGAAGCCCGACGAGAAGTCTCTGCTGCACTTGGACGACTCTGTGCCGTTGGCCTTCGAGCGCGCGTGTGCCGAGCTCATCGCTTCCGGGAGTCCAGGCATGGAATGTTGACAAGCGCTGGCCATGGCATCACAGAAGGGAGAAAAAACAAACTGTTGCATGATGACATTACATTGCCATGTGTATGTCGTCATGAAGACGGTTGATGTATACGGTGTGTCAAGTTGCACTGGGCGTCGACATGTGTCCTGGATGTTTTGTCTGCCTTTGCCAATTAATTTGTCCACCTAGACTTGTAGTCAACAGTCGCAGCATGATAGTTCCCGCATGTTCGCTGTTAGCTCTCGAAGGCTCTGAGCTGTGGCTGAGCTTGACTTCTTTGGCCGAAGAGGAGGACTGAGCACAGTGAGAAAGCCATTGCAAACAGATGCTGTTTAAGCGATCGGCTCGCCGGTGAGCCCGTGCGGCAGGATGCAGACAGCGACGACTTCGCAGAATTCCGAATGAAGCGCGAGACTAGTGGCTCCAGTTCCTCGGCACTTGCCGCGGCTAACTTGCTTGTCCGTAAGTTCAGAAGCTGCATAGTGTAAATCTTCAGTTGCGATCTCGAAGCTGCAGCTTCCTTCCCCAGTCCGGTGACTTCTGACAGGTGCTCAGGATGTTTTCAAGGTGGACGGGGTGGTGCTTGAGCCGGAGCCATTCAGCTGCATGCATCCCTTCTGCCACCCCTTCTGATTCCAAAATTGAAATAGCAATATGCTAAACTCTCCAACCCAGCTTAGTCTGTTTCCATCATCACGGGCTGACACTGTTCCCCCAGGCTGAAGAAGGTCATAGCGCATAACTGTGCAGAGTTTCGAGCACCTTAACAACTCAGAATGGCATGTGTGCCATAAGGGACAGCTGGACGAGAACACACTCTCCTCTTGTGCAGGCATGTGGCTGCTGGCGCTCGTGCTTTGTACCGAAAGCTGGCACCACATGGACTGCTGAATTTCGACAAGCACCTTGAAAGAAGGAACCCGCTCTTTGCAGTTGTGTTTAATGTGTCCGTTCAACATTGACTCAACATGCTTCTTAGAGGCTTGCCCCACTGGGTTCAGGACTTCGGATTCGGAGCTGGATTTGGAGTTTGGGTGAGGGGGGGGGGGGTGGGGTGATGACGACATGATGCCGGCATGATGATGATGACGACGATGATGATGCCGACATGGTGATGACGACATGTTGATGCCGACATCATGATGATGCCGTTAGGATGACGACGTGTTGATGGCTATCGGGATCAAGCGTCTTTATGGAGGTGTACGAAGTACGAAGTGCTGCAAATAGCAGGAATTCGCCCCCGTGTTGCAAATTCAGCATGAAACCTAGGCTTTAGTGATGTGCAGGAGTACTGCGCCGCACTAGCACAAGACAACACCTCGAGGTTTTTCCGTGTTTCTTCGTTCCGATCATGCAAAACTCTGCTTTGTCACATCTGCCATGTACTTCCAAGCTAGCAGAACGCGCGAAGACAGCATGTTCCGGGTAATGTGGCCTAGTTGCGTCAGTCCAGACACCTGGCTATTTGCGGTGCTTTCGAGCTCTTGCAATATCTTCTGTTGTACTACGTCGTGGTCTCCGGGAAGCCACCAAGAACTTGTCTTTTAGTTTTTTTTGTCGGCTGTTCGCTGGTGATGTCGCCTTCATCGATTGGGCTGTGTTCTGAAGCCATTGCCAGCTTGCTTGTTGTGCCAAGGCTGCACACGGTCATCGAGAACGACATTGCCACTGCTCTGCAGCTTGCGAACAGGGTGGTTCGAGGGATTCAACAAGCTGTCTGGAATGCGTCCACCCAAAGCCGGTGGAGTTCTGGATCAGCTTGGTTCTTCAGAAGCTGATGGTGTGGATGTAGGCTTCAGGTTCCTTACCGGGCTGATGTCGTAGGATGCCCGAAGAAAGAGGAGGAAGCATCCCGTATTTTCGTACTCAGCCTGTGCATCTCCAAGGAAACCAATCGCCTGTGGGCATTGCTACAGGCACTGGATGAAGAGAGTGAAATAGCTTCTTCAGCTGCAGGCGGACGTCTAACGGCTTGCAGATTAACTAGGACGTCGCAATTACCAAGGATGTGAACAACACAGGCAAGACGGTCATGGAGAGACAGAGATCCATCTCCATGCCGGTAGATGCCTCGGTGTCGTGGCCAACAGCATTGCTTGCAGCAGAATCATTGTGAGCCTGTAGGCACAGAACAAGAGCTTGACCACACAAACAGTTGCTCTTTGTAGCATTCAGGTTGCGAGGTCGGGTTTAAGCAGTCGCTTCTGACCTGGTCATCTACACGTCTGCCAAGGAAAGCCAGTCAGCAGAACCCAAAATTCGGAGAAGCAAGCGGACAAAATCCTCTGGACACATTGAGCAGACAGTTGGAGTTGACCCTTGCCCTGTCATGGCATTGCTGATCTGCGCAATGCTTAGAACGGCATAGAGTCAAGACTCAGATTGTAGCATGTGGGTGCCGCAAGAAAGATGCACTCCAAAAGCTTCAGGATGCATTTGTGCATTTGGTCGTGTCCACCTACAAGGAGGCTGCAAGACTGGTATCCACAGTGGGAGAGCACTCAGCCGTATTTGCGCAGCTACGCCGATTTGATACTTGCAAGGTATTGCAGCATTGGTTGCTAGTGAAATGGCTGCTTGGTGAGTTTTCGCTGAGGCTGTTTTGCAGCGTGCTCTCCGTGCTTCGGCTTTCGGTCCTCGTAGTCGTCGCTGTGGGGCGCTTTGCACCAATCACGGTGCTGCAAACATTGAGCTGGCTTCTCTCCTCGGTGTCCTGGTGCATCCTTGTGATATGTGCGAGCAGGCATGTCGTTGAACAACGAGCTTGCAGGCTCATTCACAACTGCCGTTTGTGCTCTCAGGTACTCCTGGCAGTGTCCTTTGCTTGGGGGCCGGTTCTGCTGGACATCTTGCAATCCTTGGTGCTGCTTCTGCATGTTAACCCCTTCGACACTGGTGACATGATTATCTTCCGCGGAAACTATCTACATGTGCAGCAGATCAAGCTTCTCAATACAGTTTTTCGGGATCTCTGCGACGAGGTGCTTGGGGGTCAAACTATTGTCTGTGTCAGTCGTCGCAAGGTGTGTCTTCCGCAGTCAGACATGTGTGTCTTCTCGCAAGTGCCTTTAGTAACTCTGGGGACAGTCTACGGGACACATAGAAAGGTCGTAGCAACAAGCAGTTTGCGCAGGAATTTGGATGTCCCTGCCGGAGGTTTATCCACCTAAGGCCCTGTGTGGATAAGAGACCCCTGCATCGACGCTTTGGACCCATGAAGCGAGCATATCAGTTTAGACTTCTGAAATGAAGTCAGCAAGCGCGGTGCGTGGCAAGTGTCAAGGCAACCTCTCTGCATTCGTCTGCTGAAGCCAGGAGATCTACATCCGCAACTCTGTCCTTTATGCCGATTGTGAAGGAATTCTCAACATCCGCAGATCTGGAAGAGCATCTGCAGCCATTGAGCTTTTGATTCCACCACAATCTGCCACGAAGCCGAATCTGAAAGCACTCACTGCAGCAGCTCGTCGATATGCCATGGCGCATCCGGAAACGTGGCAAGAGCAAGTCTCTGTTGGAGTCTTTCCGACAAACCAGCCTGGTGCCGCAGTGGTTGTTGGAATGGAGGCGTTTCCGAGTCAGGGTATACGATTGTGTGTTTCAGCTACGCATCAGCTGTCCAAATCGCAGGTGGGCCAAGTTAGAAGCGATGCCACCCACTTTCTTATAGAATTATTGGAGGAAGCGACCAAACTCGGTGTTGAATGGCCATCACCGCATGTCGGGGACAGAGGCTCTGTCGTCAGCAGCTAAGAGCGAACAGCTAGCAGCTAGCAAGAATACTCTGCGAGCTGCAGATCTCCAGAGCAGTCAAGCTCTTGTGTCCCTTCGTCTCGTCTGCTGACGGCGGCCACGGCGAATACAGCACCTTCGACAAGCAGACTGACATTGGCAGACCTTGATCGAGTTGCAGTAACCCTGAAGTCATCTGAAGTCTTTCGGGCTCTAAGTTCCTACCGAAGGCTCGCTCCTGGATGGTCTACGCTGTCTGCATCTGCAGAAGTATGCGGTGTACGAGTTAGGCTACGCAGCCTAGGTGTGCCTACATAGTGCCGGACGTTCGCAGAGAGCTGTTGGCGATTCAAAGATGCGAGATATGTTCGGAGTAGTGACTTCCCAGCCTTAGGTGCGTGCTTGTACCTTGATTTCAGTCGAGCTGAAGGACTGCTGCCCTGCCATCTTCTCGCAGGTGCAGCTCTGTGTTGCAACACACGAATGTGCATTTACGGGCTGTCAATGATGACGTAATCAGGTTGATCTCAAACGATGCTTGAGAAGAGCTGACTGGCGGCTTTCATCTCAGCTGCCCTGTCATGTGCATAAGGTCAGGCAACAATGTGGGGTGTGCATATCAGAGATTTGGGCTTTACTATGTGTTCGCGTATGTCTAACGTGGGGCAGACTCGGCTGCCGTTCTCAGATGAAGCAGTATTCTAGATTGAAGTAGTAGCACGAAGCGAGAACGCGGGCTATGAAGGCTCGAGTCAACTGCTTGTTCCATGCCGGAATTAGAGAAGGAGCAGCTTCGCATGGTTTGGCTAGCATCGTGACCAGCACGAGGCCATCCTTTCCACAGGCCACTCGCCGCATGACTTTTCCTGGAAGCCTCCCTCATTCACTCAAAGGCCAACCGGAAGATTTTGGGATTTGTCCTCAAGTGTCACGCAAAGCGGGTGGAAACGGCTCCGACTGCAGATCCCTCTAAGTATTCAGTTCTGCCATCGCACAGCTCGGCAAGCTCGAAGAGACACTTCGGCGGCACTTTTCTTTCGGTCCGTCCAGTACTCCCACGCTTCACATGGTTTGGTTCAGCTCCTTCCAATTCTGATAACCTGATTTTGCTACTTCATTCCACCATTAGGCGCCGCTTTCCGGAAGCAAGGCCGACGCTGAAGATGGTCCTGCATGGAATGGGGCCCAGGCATTCGCAATCCAATAGTCATGCATCACAATGCAATGCAATCTTCCGCTTTCTCGGGATGCATGCCCTTCACTACATGACTCTGCCCGAAGCTTCGATCGGACAAGCTGGAGATACGTTCAAAAACAAGGCTAGACTAGAACCGATCCAAGGCCGTAAAATGAGAAATGACAAGCGGAGGAGGCAACGCTAGCAGAAACCGCCATGATCCAACGACCACAACCAGGTGCTGCGCAAGTAGCAAGAGGAAGCCAGAGGATTAGTGCACCAACAAATGCAGCCCGTGACTGCGCTACAGAGATCCCCTCACCAGACCGACCACCCATCCGCTCGGGCTTGTGACCTCATGCCGAAGTTCCTGTCGCCAAGATTGCATTCCCCCTGTTGGCACAGGTCGACTTCCTCCAAGCAGGCATTGTCCATGTTGCAGAGGCAATTCGGGTTAGAGACCGGCAGTTTGAGTGGTGCAAGTCTTCGGCTTTGCCGCAGGTATGCAGGCTCCTTGCCCACGGGATCATCTCCCCCAGAGTGGCAACTTCTTTGTCGAGGAATCCGGGCTTTGGCTTCGGAGGCTCCGATGCAAAAGCCATGAGTGCAATGAATACATCGCGGAGATCTTTTTCCGGTGCAGGAGCCTGGCATGGCTGCAGAGCTCTGCGCAGAACGCGTGTGCAAGCTGGCGGACTCCTGGCCGGCTGCGGGCTGAGTCGGCGATGAGTCATTCGCCTCACTGCGTGCATGGACTTCAAAGGACTCAGAAGAGCGTTGTCGAGATCTCATCTCCTCCCTTCTGGATGCTATGAGTCGTCCCCCCTGGGTGCTGTGTGACACTGTGAATCAGGGTCATTCTTTCTGAAGCGAATTTTCTCGCTGCATGAGGCCTGGAAAGGTTGGCCGAGGCAGCCACAGCTTTGGAGGTCTTTCTGAAAAGGCGGGGCCGGGTGAAGCTTCCGGGTTTCGTTGGCCTTTTGCGCTTTTGATCGGGGTCCTATCCGATCGGTCTTTCCTTTGTCGGCGCACTTCAGGGTACTTTGCTAGTTGCTGACTGCTGGCCCTGAAAGTAGATCGCAGGAGTCGTGCATCAGCGTGCAAGCTTCCGGGTTCCAACGAGGCACTGGTGATGAAGCGGGAGCAGCAACCAGTATAACACATCTGGCATTGACAAGCACCTGTGATCTGCCAGCCCGTCTTTCACCACATCACCTTCGATCATCTGTTCTTCACTCGGAGAGGGACCGGATGTGACCAGCTGCCTTGCTAGTTGCTTGATGTGGAGACGTCCTTGGTGCAGCCAAGGTTAAGTACACCCAGACTGCACGCTCTCCTGGAGGCCGTCCTGAATACGAATGCCGCCGATGTCAAGGCACCCGCCAACGCGCGACTCGCCAACTGCAGATGAGGGGCTTCCGAGGCCATACTGCAACGACGCTCTGCAAGCAGCCGGACGGCGTCAGAGCTGCTGTGGAGGTGCCACGGCAGCCAGTCTGCCAATGTCCAATGTCTGCGAGAGATTGCCAGAGACTACAGACATGGTCCCGAGATGTGGCGAGGTACTTTCAACGGCAAGGCCATGACAGGCCTGCATGGGCGCAGCTTCAGCGTTTGGTCGAGGCACCTGAACAGGCCATCTGCTTGTGCCTGCTTTGGAGAAACTGGTCTCGCGAACATTCCGCATTCGGGAGCAAGGGCACCCTGAAGATATTGCCTTAATCAGGAGCATTGACACATAGCCGGAGGAAGAATCGGGAATGCCGTTGTTGTGGTGCAGGGGTTCAAGTGTTCACATGCCATCAGAAATCTGATGGCAGTTGCCACGCCCGAGTATGCAATCACGAAGTGTAGCAAGATGTTGGTGGTATGGGAGGTTTCTCCTGGAGTCTTAAACTCTGCCGCTGTAGTGCTGCACATTTGTTCAGCACATGCGAAGGAACCTCGTGTGGTACTAGTAGCATGCCCTTTATTGAACCGGCTTCGAGTGCTGGCAGTTCTACAACTTGAAAGACCGCATCAGATATCTCCACCTCGCTCAGGCCGTCGGGTGTCATGATAGCTTTGCGCGTGGGCGAATCCGTGGTGACTGCGTTGTTTGGACAGGAGCAGCGCAAGAGCGTGAGCTCTGCGTCCTTGCAAGAAGAGCTTGCGTTGAGACTGGGGGCGGTGCACCGCCCAGGTTATGACAAGGGGGCATGCGGGGTGGCATAAGTTTCACGAAGTGTTTGTTCCGTTCAGTGGTTGTTGGCAATGCTAGCCTTGCTTTTGGAGGCCGAAAAGCTCCAGCAACCCTTGCTGAAGGACTGCAGCCCTACCTGCGCAAGAGATAAGACAGGGAAGCTGCGGCGATCTGGTGTGGGAAGTTCGTGTGTGTGTGTGTCAAAACCCTGTCTCCAAAAAAAATCGTTTGCACCAGAGGGTTGAGGGTCTTTCATTTGCGCCTCAGCCAACGAAGACCACAAGTGTAAGGACGTGCAAACGTACCTGCTGAGTTGCACCTGGATCCCGTTGTGGATAGATGGCGGACTCGATGAAACTGAGTGAGTGCGCATTTTCGGATGGTCTTGCAAGTGTTGTTAGACTGTTCTTGTACATGAGTGAATGCGGATTACGCACAAGTGATTCTTGCAGATTTGACGGTCGAGAATGATTCGAAACCTTGGACACATTGTTGCATGTGTGGGTGTACTTTCCATGTTAGGATGAACCTGGTCACTCCCGGCTTTTGAACTGCCCATACAGTCAAACAAGCACTGCAAGCAGCATATTGCTCTGTAATTCAATTCATTTGCTGGGGGGCCAGTGCATGTCGGACACCACGTCCTCTGTTGCATGCAAAACCGATTTGACCGATATGGCACCAAAAAATGCTTTCTCTACGTGCACGGTTTCTGCAATCTGTCTGCCATCTTTCAATAATCTGCATGTAGGTATGTAAGAATGCATGTGTTTTTTTTGCCCGTGGCGTTTGAGTCGTGCTCGTGCTGTGCCAGAGAGGGTCTGAGAAGATGGTTCTCATTCTCACCGTTCAAAGCCGCATCTGGCGAACGAGTGTAAACCCGTCTTCAAATGTAGAGTTTTGTTGTTTTCGGCTGTTTTCTCTTCTCGTTTGCTGATGCAGGAGCTGCTGGTCTTGGCAGGGAACGAGAAGCAAGATGCAAGGCCAAGCCACGGTAATTGTCAACGTGGTGTCAACGTGCATGACTGCCCAGGTGGCGTGATGCAGCCCGCAAGCGCTCTTCAGAACTACAGCACCTGAGGAGTGCGCGTGAGCTCTACGAGGCGACAGACAAGCATTGTGACATCTTGAATGTCTCCGGGTCGGGGGAAGTGAAGCATGGGCGCAAGGGCGAAAAGGATAGTTTTGGAAGGGGTGGCACAGCTTCCAACGAAACGATTCCGTGTGTATTGTTACAGTGTGACCTGGAGCGTAGCTTTGTGACCTCCATGAGATCTGTTCAGAAACCTGCCACTTTAATATCTTAGGTCGCGAAACGGACAAAGGAACGTGTTCGGCTGTAGCTGAGAGCTTCACACAGGTGGCCGGTGAGTTCGGGTTCTGGCATCTGCAACTGGGCATCGCCGGCTTTTCAGGCTGGAGTCGATGAGATGTCTACATACGTCGTCTCTGGCATTCACTTTGTTCGCGTTCTTGCTCAAGAGCTTTTGCATTCATAAACCGCTTGGGTTATCGCATGCCCCTCGGAAAGGCGTGAATATGGCACATGATGTGGCGACGACACTGCACGGGCCACAGACAGAACGCGACATGAACCTTGCTTTCGATGAACGGTGAATATTTCTTGTAGTTAGTCATCGCAAAATTGTCCTGGAGGTGGGCTGGCTTCTTGTTCCCTGCTGATGGTCCCTACAACTCGCACAGTGACGAGGATCGGTTTATGTACGTCCCCAGCTCTTTTCTATTCGTGCCACGAGCAGCAGGTAGCTTCACCCAAGCTGCTGTTCCCTTTGCTGATGCGGCGGCCGCACACATGTTTCTTCGCCTCCAAGCAGGCCGTTGACCGTGACGCACCACCGAATGTCTCTGGAGTCCTGCGCTGCAGTTGGAGCATCGCAAGGAGGAGATGGACGAACGGCAGCTGAAGCCGTCGCTTCTTCGTGATCGAGTACTCGCATTTCTGCAGGAGCTCAAGGAGGCGAAGAACAAGCAACATAAGACAGCTGAGCTTTTGTTCACTGCCGTTCTTGAGTTACAGGTAGCTCCAACCAGCCACCAGCTTTGGCACGTGCGAGGGGTCGGATGCCTAGTCAGATGCGGGGTCTGTCTGGCGGCCTAGAAGTCGCAATGAGCCAGCTGGATGTGTTCTAACATGTGTGCCGAGATTGCGACACTTCTGGAGTTCAGCAGCTGCTTGTGGCTAAATGCTTTGCAGAAGGCCGGGTTCCACGAGCATTCACTGGAGCTAGTACCAAGCCAGGACAGCTACTTGCAGAGTGAGCGAAGATGATCTTTTGATGTTTCGTGAGATGCTGCTGTACCTAGCTGTGCCTAGTAGTTGTTGGGGCGTAGCCAGCATGACAACGCTTTTTCGTGGGCCGGCACATGCGCACATAAACTGGAGACAAACACCAAAACTTTGCAATCAGCAAGCAGGGGTGAGATTGATTTTACTGTCTGATGGGTTCAGTATCGAAGATAATTGCGCCAGGACCAAACACACCGGACCCCGCCGTGTGATCATTGGCATCTGTTGGACTCCGGACTCCATGTCACCTGTTGGATGCCGTTGAGTACGCCGTGTACGCATCGACGTACCCGCTTCCCATCCATGGCCTAAAATGTCTACTGCCAGTCCGACACTCCAGCCATTGATGGTGGCCCAACCCTGGAAAGCACAATCAGACCGCATAATCACCACACCGTGAATCGTGAATTCTAGCTGCTAGACACATACATCCCTCCTTCCCGTGCTCTAGTGACACTCGGGCGAAACCTTGGCACGGTGCCAAATGCCCGACTCCGCAGAAGAAGGTTGGAGGCGAGAAGGAGGTTGGAGGTGGGCACACGCGCAGTGCCAGGGCAGGTACTCCTTCATGAAGGGGTACTGGGTTCTCTGGTTAGGGCAGGGTCTTTGGGGTCCAGGCTGTGGAATTTTATGCAACGCCCCACCAGCAAGGTTCGATTCGGGTTTGCAAGAGCCCCCCCAGAAAGCGCGGCCTTTTTGGAGCCACATGCAGTTGGCCCAAACCACTTGAAACGGGTTTGGGAGATGCTTCCTAACATTTAGCAAAAAGACCCTGGAAAGTTCAGGGAGTGAGGGAAGTTTGATTAATCTGCCGATACGTATGTGCGTCATAGTTGATAAGTTTTTGGACATGTTTGGATCGGGGGCAACTGCAGCAACTGGAGAAATATTTTTTCGCTCCTAAACCGAAAATAAAAAGGTATAGCTTCGAAGTTTGAGAATAGATACAGAAAGGACAAAGCGCTTAGGAAGATGTGGGAAGGTCTGGGACATGGCGGAATATGGACAGTTTGACAAGCAGCGAATAATGTTCTTGCTTGAAGTGTTCTGATGTGTTCCGGAGTTTGTCCTACAGCCCAGGTCAGGCCGACAAAGGTCCAGAACTACATAGGTATGGGAAGACGGTCTGCTTGGGAGTCTTCAAAAACAGTCCAGGTTGTCAACATTTTCATCAGAACAGGCACCGTAAGAATGGTCAGGGCGCCACAAGCTTTGGGAGAAGCGCGCAAAGGTTTTGCAAGAGGTCTTCGTCAAGCGGTGCAATTCGTTTGTATGGCAGGTCGGGCAGACAACCGAGTTGCAGGAGAAAGGACTGTCTCGATTAGTAAGCCGTTCACATCGCACGCAGTCCTCCTGGGGAAGCAGGAGGTGATGGAGCTGCTGGTTCGTCGCTCATCGACGAGAATCGGCTGTGGGTCGCTTGCCTGGGAGTATGTGTGGAGCTGCTCGCTCTTCTAGCGCAACGGGTTGGCATGCTCAGGTGGCATTGGAGGTCCTGATGCAAAAGCCTTTTTCATTCTCCCTTCCCGACTTGATCACTTTCTACGCAGCTTGGCAGTACAACACCGGCTTTGCCATGAAGTTAATGTTAAGGCTGAGATCAGCACCATTCACTCTAGCAGGAGTAGGAGGTGGAGTGAGAGTCGGAGGCAGGAGGAGTAGGACGCGAGGAGTAGGTGAGGAGGAGGAAGAGGAGAAGGAGGAGAAGGAGTTTGAGGAGGAGGATGAGTACGGGGTCGAATTTTACGTTTGGGCAACTACATTCCTTCACCACAGTCTTACGCATTTCTTAAGAGGAGGTAGCCTTAAAGAAATTCCGGATTTCAAGCATACGCTTTTCAACTCGTGCGTGTCCCCTGACCCTCGCATTCCTTGGCTCCCTACCCGAGTTGAAAAGCACAGGCATTGAAGCATTCAGGCCACGAACTCTCCAAACCCTACGCTTTTGAACTCGTGCGGGTCCCCCAACGCCTTGGACTCTGCTTCCACAGCAAATCTTCACTCGACCCTTCATTATACCAGTTCCTCAACCCTCCATTGCCTTCGGGCGAATTCCGAAAGGCTCGCCGATCTGCTGCAGGAATCCTAAACCCTAAACCCAAATCCGATGCCGGAAAAGACTCCCAAACGGTTTTTTGGAGTGCACCAGAGTCTACTTTCTTGATTTTCTTGTTTGATAATTTATCTGAACTTACTGGTTCACCGTACGAGCAGCAGCAGCAGCAGCAGTGGTAGTGGTAGTGGCAGTGGCAGGGGGAGTGGTAGTGGTAGTAGTAATAGTAGCAGTAGGAGGAGGAGGAGTAGTAGTAGTAGCAGCCGCAGCA